TAAGGGAGCCAAGCAGGACACGAGTTGTACATGTTTGTATTAAAATGACACACACAGTGTGTGTGAAGCTCTGCCACTGTGTCCTTAGAGCAGTCACAGGCAACATGGAAATGACTGACAGTGATTGTTTTCCAATAAAACTTTATTTACAAAAACAGATGGTGGGCTGGCGTTGACCCCTCAGTTAGTTTGCCAGTATCCCTAATGTGGAGAGAAGGGAGGGACATATGGAAAAATGAAAGCAATTCTTTGAGTAATGAGACTATAGATAAAAACACTTTAAGTATCACTTAATTTTGATAATTTAATTTTGTTATAATTAAAATTTACAGTGGGTATGCCACCATTTCTTATGGTTCAGCTATGCAATATCATTTGGTTCTCTCAACTATATATCCTGCCAAGTTACCTGGAATTCCAACCAATAGAACCATTCTTCATTAAGTGCTTATTCCAGTTTATGATCTCAAATGGATAATACATTAACCCATGAGTAGCCTAGGGATTAGTTTAATACTAAATAATAGAATTAAGTCTACATTCTTGTCACTGTTTTAAGCACTATACATACTGAGTCCTCACATCTTCCTGCTTCACAGATGAGGAGACTGAGTCACAAATAGGTTAAAAAAAAAACCCAGGCAAGGTCAACAATCCATAGAGGGGTGTAGCCATAATTCCAACCCAGACCATCAAGACCCAAAAACCATTGCATCTTACTGCTGGAGGGATACGCTCATAGATGAAACAGCGGTTAACAAATTTCTTATGGTTCAGCTATGCAATATCATTTGGTTCTCTCAACTATATATCCTGCCAAGTTACCTGGAATTCCAACCAATAGAACCATTCTTCATTAAGTGCTTATTCCAGTTTATGATCTCAAATGGATAATACATTAACCCATGAGTAGCCTAGGGATTAGTTTAATACTAAATAATAGAATTAAGTCTACATTCTTGTCACTGTTTTAAGCACTATACATACTGAGTCCTCACATCTGCACATCTGCCTGCTTCACAGATGAGGAGACTGAGTCACAAATAGGTTAAAAAAAACCCCAGGCAAGATCATCAATCCATAAAGGGGTGTAGCCATAATTCCAACCCAGACCACCAAGGCCCAGAAACCATTGCATCCTACTGCTGGAGGGATACGCTCATAGACGAAACAACGGTTAACAGCACAGTAATGAGAATGAACTTCATAAACAACATATCTATTTTGATAAAAAATATACTACATTTCTCCAAACTATCATCTCCAAACTAATTCAAGAATAAAGGGGAAACCTGATTATTCCTAACCCCCAATGCACTGGTTCCCAACTATGGTCACATGTTAGAATCACCTGAGGACCTTAAAGAACACCCCACGCAGGCACTCTGCATGGGTGGCATGAACGATGGCAACTGGGGTGCCTCGCAGGCCAGCAGCAGGACTGTGGTGGGCTTGGGAGTGGGGACTAAAGGAATCTGAGCAGTGGTAAGCGCAAGCAGCTCTCCAGGGAGGCCAGCTGTGAGGGGCAGGTGGAGATGGGGCCGAGGCATGCCTGGGGAGCACGATGCTGCTGCCTAAAATGGGAGAGACAAGGATCTTACATGCAGGTGGGCCCAACATAGGGAGAGGCTGATGCACAAGGAGATGGCTGAGTGCTGGCATTTGTGAGGAGGCAGGAGGGACAGTACACGTTAGAGATAGTGCAGGACATGGCTGTGGAGCTGGCCAGACCTAGCGTGTGTGACTGTGGCTTTGCCACTCAGTGAACTTGGGCTCAGTCCTGCCTGACCTATGGTTGTGAAGGGGGAAGATGACCTGAGATAATGGACATATCACTCAAAACAGGGCCTCCCACGTGGCTGGGGTCCACAGAGCAGGCCATGGTCACCCCCCACTAGCAATGACCCAGCCGTCCTCAGAGGCCACATGAAGGGGTCTGGACAACAGCCGCGTGTTGGCGTGACACTGGGAGCTAGCACACAGGACTGTGTTTTGTGCACCCATGTTCATGGGTTTGCTGTGGAGAGCGAGGCCCCTATTTTCTCCAGAAGGGAAGCAGCTGAAGTTACCTGTGGAGAGTGAGATGGGAGGGGCTGTTTGGATTCTGAGTCTCTTTCTCACCGAGATGTCTTCTCCTCTCTTGCAGCTCAGAGTTTGCTTGGACAAGGCCCGCCGCTTGTTTTCCCTATAGATAAGCTGGTGGAGGAGGGATCCAATGTCACCGTCTGTTACGTTTCTAGGCACAGTCAGAGTAACGTATCCTGTCTCTTGCATGGCCAACGGATCCCCAGAGAGCAGCTGGACACACACGTGTCTGTGTTCACCTTGACGAATGTTTCCTTCATTAGCACCTGGGGATCGAACTTCTACTGTGAGAACGACCCAGACATCATAGCCGGCGCCGAACCGGGCACGGTTCTCTTTGTCTCTAGTAAGCATGAGCCTCTCCCTGCCCTCTTCCCGCTTCCTAAGGAACCTAGGGGCCCCCTTCACCAGGTCACAGTTCACATTTCCACTCATGGTCGTTTCCTCTGACCTCCCAAGTCTTCCAGGAGGGACTCAGGGAAGGAAACCCTGGAGCAATCCCAGCAGGATTTCCTGTCGATGCCTGGTCCTTGCTGGCAATTTGATGCCTAGAAACCAGGAGTATTAAGGGGAGAAAGCTCAGGTCATGACCTGGAAATGTCCCACGTTGCCTTCGCCCCGAGGGGCAGCTGGGGTTGGGGTCTGGGCACCTGGGCTGACTCTCTCCTGGGCTGGACATATTTCTTAGTCTCTCTGAGCTGGTGTCTGCCCCTGGGGAAGGGGGACGATGACCGCTGTTGTGAGGATTAGTGGAGGTGGACGGGGCTGGCCCCGCGCTGCTAGCTGCACACAGTAGGGACTCAGCACACGAGGTCATCACTTCCATCACCCCCGTGGGCGGCTGCAGTGGGGAGGGAGCACTGGGGTTTTCTGTAGCTCTGTGTGCACCCGTCCTGTCCCGGGGCTCCTCTGTTCTGTCTCGAGATGGCCCTTCCCTGCACAGGGCAAGATCTGCGACTGTGCCCTCGCTGCTTCCCTGACGAAGGGCCTTCCCAGGCTCCCGGGCACTTGGTTTGTGCTCCTTGACCTGGCCTCTTCGGTTGGCACCATTCTGGCGCTCCCAGCTCCCCGCTGCTGATGGTAGCAGGTTCCCCAAATCTGACGGACTTCCTGGCAGCCCACGCGTAACCCCCAGGCTCTCTGTCAGCCACAGCTTCGGAAATGCAGCCCCAGGCAACTCTGACTTGGTTCTTTCATTCTTTCACTGGCTCGCTCTGTTGCTGAGCAACACTCAGAGCACCTACCAGCAGGCACTGGGTGTACAACATCCAGCAAACACACCCGGGGCTGAGCAAGCAGCACTCCAGCCACTCGCGCCCATGATGCACGGAAAAGCACGGGGTCGGGGTGGGGGGGGCCCCACAAGTGTGCACATGGGACACATCCATTCAGGGGACCCTTTCGCTGTCAGACCCCAAGCAGAGCCGTGCACTGTGTTTGCCTTTGATTTCACGAGGCCTTTTGTCTGTCTTTCCTTCCGGTGGACAGAAGTACTTGAGGAGCCCAAGGGCTTTTCTTGTGAGACTCGGGACTTCAGGACTTTGAACTGCACTTGGGATCCCAGGAGCGACACTGACCTGCCGAAATACCGCTCCCAACGCTACGCTTTATTTGAATCGTAAGTGAGCTCGTTACATTCTTGACAGATACATCCTCGTTTAAGTCCTGGTGACAGCATAACAAAGGCCACGTTTAGATGTTGCGAAAATTTGAACAGATATTTTAAAACCGCCCTGACAGTCCTAGGAGCTCTTAGCTGGTCGCTAAGGACGTCCAACCCGAGTTTCATCAAAGGAAAGTGTAGCATCAAAATGACAAGACAGACCATGAATGGTTGGTTCATCTTGACATGAAGATACTTCCATCTTTTTAAATTAGAGTTCCAGCTGCGTCTACCTCATTTCCAACTTTTTAAGAATATCCAAAGGAAATGAAGGAGAGGTCTTCCCCGCCTGCGAGGGGGAGTCGGTGACTCACCGTCCCACATTTCACCACAGAAATCAAACTTGCTCAAACAGTATTTTCGTCATCGGCGTTGGTTGATGATGGATGGATGAGCTCATGTGGAACATGGTTTAAAGCCACTGAGCATCCCCCAAGGAGACTGGGATGCACTTCCTTACTGTCCAGAGCGTAACCCCTGAAATTGTGTTTTTGTTTTTAAGATTTTCCGGGAAAACGAAATCCTGTGAACAAAAAAACTGGTGTACTTGGCAAGTAGCTCAAGACTCACAAATGTATAACTTTACACTCATAGCTGAAAACTACTTCAGAAAGAGGAGTGTCAATCTTCTCTTCAACCTGGCGCACCGAGGTGAGGCTAGAGCTGCCGTGGCCATGTCTTTGTTTGGCACACAAGAGGGGGGTGGTGGAGGTACGGGGCGGTGAATGTGCAGCAGGTCTTTGCCTAATTCACATCCTAAGCCAAAGTTACCATTTATAGCTCTCTTCGTGGATGCATGTGTGGCCCACGGTCCCGTTACTGGTCGGTTTTGATTATGTAATAAGCACCCATGAGCTTACCGCTCAGCCTCACAACGAGGATGGTGACGATGCCTTACTTCATGTCAGTTCCGTAATTCTTCTCATTCTGGTTCCCTATTTTGGTTAGACTCTGGGTTCTGTTACGTCCTCCCCACGGGCTGCTTCTTCAAGTTCAGGCGCCCCTCCTCCATCTGCCCGATTTATTTAACTTTAGGGGTCCTCGGGTAGTTTCTTTTTGTATTTCGTTCAGAATTTCTAATGTAATCAGTGAGTGAGAAGGGTGGCAGTTAGCTTACTCCATCCTGGCTGTAAGTCTGGTTTTGTTTGCCATTTTCTCAAAAATAAACAAAACTACTTACCGAATAAATAAAGGAGGAAACGAACCACTTACTTACCAAAGTCTTTTGGATCTGTGCTTGAGCTCTTTTTACTTTGTGTCCTTACCCTCCCCCCACCCTCTTTTTTTTTTTGGCAGTTCACCCAATGACTCCCTTTAATGTGCTATTTGAAAGTGTAAGCACCGCAAATGCCACCATGACCTGGAAGGTCCATTCCCTGGGGAATTTTTCCACGTTTTTGTGTCAGGTTGAACTCCATGGCGAAGGAAGAGCGATACAAGTAAGGACACTGCTTACTACTCTATTTTCAGAAGCCCCTTGATGCCCAGATCAGAAGGCCAGAAGAGCAAAATCTCTCTGCACTCTCATTTCTCTGTGGGTTCCAATGGTGTGGGTTTTCGGGGTTGAAAAAGATCCATGAAATTCACTGTAGACTTTCAGAAGGGGGCCGTAGAGATTTTTCTTCCCGAAGAACTAGTCTTACCCCAGCTCAGGCTGTGCCGTGCTGGGATTGGGCTTTGTAGTGGGGAACACTCACCGATCTTCTTTTTCATCAAGCAGCACAATGCTTCCAGCCAGGTGGATGGTCAGTACTTCTTCAGCGGTCTGGCCCCCGCCACAGAGTATGCGGCCCGAGTGCGCTGTGCTGCCAAGCACTTCTGGAAATGGAGTGAATGGGCTGGCCAGAACTTCAGTACACTCCAAGCTGGTACGCTCCAATCCCTGGCATTTCACACAGGGATCTAGACTGACTGATGGGAGGTGGTTGTCTTCTCTGAGAGCTCTTGTTTGTACCAAAAACTAAGGGGGAAATACTACAAAAGAGGCTGGGTGCTATCTTCAAAAAGAAAAAGAAGCCGGCCCTCGCTGGTTTGGCTCAGTGGGTAGAGTGTCGGCCTGTGGACTGGAGGGTCCCAGGTTCAATTCTGGTCAAGGGCACATGCCCAGGTTGTGGGCTTAATCCCCAGTGGGGCCCATGTAGGAGGCAGCCGATCCATGATTCTCTCTTATCATTGATGTTTATCTCTCTTTTTTATCTCTCCCTCTCCCTTCCTATCTGAAGTCAATAAAAATATATTTTTTAAAAAGAAAAAAGATAAAGGAGCTGAATTAAATGGCTAATGAGATATGAGTGGGAAGACATCCACTTGGAACATTTGCCACTGGTGTTATTTCTATTCTCTATTTTCTCTCTGATCTTTGTTTTCGCCAAAGTGGTTTCTAAGCTCCTGGCATTGCTGGATTCCCGCTGGACTTGGGGCTGTGTTAATTAGTAAGGACTTTTAACTCAGGACCAGCTGACATAGCGTCCATGCCAAGGAAAGCATTGGTCTCATGCCAAATAACTCTAGGCCAACTTTGGAAATATAATGATGTATGGAAACTTGATTGTGATTGATAAGTCATTGGTTCAGCAACAGCAAACTGTGAGCCCCCTCTGTCATGCCCTCAGGGGCTGTTTCCTCAATATTCTGGATCAGAGAGTTTTTCTCCAAACGACTATGTGTTAGAGCTCCAATAGGCCTCAGCAGACTAAATGGCCCAGCCCTACTTCAAGATAATAATGTACTACCATTGCCCAGTTTACTGATGAAGCAACTTTGCCTAGTTTGCAAAGTTAATGAATGGATGAGAAGTAATAGTAATAATAATCCTATATAATAAAGGCAAATTGTCCCCTCGGGAGTTTGACTCACCACGAGTTCGACCGCTGGCTATGACATGTGCTGACCACCAGGGGGCGGTGCAGAACAAAGGAAGGCCCCGGCAGGCAGCTGGGGGAAGGAAGGCCCCGAATGGCCCTGATTGCTGACCTGTGCACAAATTTCATGCACAGGGCCTCTAATAATAATAATAATAATGGCTGGCATTTATTGAGTATGTAGTAGGTGCCAGACACAGCTCAAAGTGCTATCAATGCGTTTCTCTTTTAACCCTCACAACATGCCGTCGGCACTATTGCTATCCTTACCTTATAGATGCGGAGACACTGAGGCTCAGAGGATAATGAACTGGCCTGGCCAGTGACTGGGCTGTGGCTGCACCTCGCAGCCAGGCAGGCTGACCGCAGAGCCCGCCCTCACCCAGAGCTGGATTCCCCAAGTTCTGTCTCCTGCTGTTGTTACTGCAACCTTGAGACCTGGCTATTTTAGGGCCAGAGGAAGGATTGCATGTATTTATTTTAGTCCATCTTATTGTTCGTGTTTGTAGGCAGGCAGCTCTTTCTGTTTCACCTGAGGAGGCTCATTTTATTTTATTTTATTTTATTTATTTTTTATATTTTTATTGATTCTTTACAGAGAGGAAGGGGGAGAGATAGTTAGAAACATTGATGAGAGAGAAACATCGATCAGCTGCCTCCTGCACATCTCCTACTGGGGATGTGCCCGCAACCCAGGTACATGCCCTTGACAGGAATCGAACCTGAGACCTTTCAGTCCGAAGGCCGATGCTCTATCCACTGAGCCAAACTGGTTTCGGCAAGGAGGCTCATTTTAAAGTAGCGACTCTAACTGAGGAGGGTGGGGATGGCACTGCCTGCGTCAGAATCTACGCACAGGGTTAGTCACTGGTCACGGTCAACAGGCCTCCTCGTCATGTCTGGGGTTCCTGACCAGCCTGCCCATCCTCACACTCCCCGGGACCCCGATAATTTTTCCTAGCTGTGTGGATTCCTCAAGGGTCCCCCCGCTGCAGAAAGCCCTGAGAATAATATGGCATATTCCTCAGTTGTATTTTATTAAAGAATGTCTACTTGAGTAAGGCTGCTTTTTTTGCTTGGTTTTTGCAAATTTATTCCAACATTATAATTAAACTTAAATGCTAAAGGAAAATGGCAAAAGGATAGAGATTTTAGTAAACTGTTTCTTTTAGATTAGAGTCTAATAAACCTGAAAACACTTAGCTTTTGATGATGATGAGAAATTAGACGAACCTACTGATGGTGAATTCATACGTTGTTTTTTAAGCTCTGAGAGCACTTTGGTGAATGCTGGAAAGTTTGAGCTTGTGTGCATTATAATCACACTTCAGTGTGATCACAGATGACACTGGGGTGGAAATTATGTTAACATATATGTGAAGCACTATTGGCTGTGCCACCGTGGTCTCTTCTTAAAACACCAGCTTATGAGCCAGCTAAGATTTTGCACTGAACTTGGGGCCCCCTATTGGGCCCGAGTATTTCAGTAAGATTTTGATTTAATGTTGGCTTCTCCAGCGGCTCCTTTAGCAAATTGAAATCCGCTTCAGTAGAGCCCAGCCAGTGTGGGGATTTACCTCAATAAGCTCCTAGGATTGGCCTGAACGGATAAAATGATTCCAAAATTCTTTGATGGCTTCCAGAAGCTGAGGCTTGGTGTTCATAAAGGGCTTCCAGGGTGGCGTCCTATTCACATACAGCAGACCTTTTGTGAGCACCTACTATGTGGGCCCAGTGAAGCATGAACAGGGTGGCCATGGATAATGGGCAGAAACGTCACAAAGAGTGAGAGAGGAGCCTCTCCGAGAGCCGCCGTCACTGGAAGCTGGGATGTGCGGCTCTGCATTCTCATGGTGACCCAGGACCTTTCCTTGGTTCGTTTCAGCTCCCTCCAAGGCTCCTGATGTCTGGAGAAGCGTGAGGTCAACGCTGGGATCTTGTAATGTCACTTTATTCTGGAAGGTAGGACTGAGGGACAGGCCCCGGGAGTGGGCTTGGGACTAGGTGAGCAGGGAATTCTCTGCAATCGGGAATCTGGGGAGATTAGAGGGGGGGAGGACAGGAGTTGGGCCCTCTGCTGGGGCGCATGGATGGTTTCTCCCCTCAGTACCCACTCAGTCTCTTTTAAGTCCCGGCTAGAGAGCCCGCTGTTCTCTCGATTCCTGCCTTGCTCCCTCTTCTATGGCCACGTTAGGAGGAGCTCAGCCCTCCAGAGCCTGCTCTCTGCTCAGCTTTAGAGAAGACAGCCTGGTGAAGGGCTGGGTTAGGGGTTGTTTTCTCTATTAAGTTGTGGTAATTTGTTGGTAGGTGCCATGTGTGTGTGTGTAGGCATTTGAGGGACAGAAAAGATGGAAAAGTAAATGTGCAAACTCCTTCCAGCGGGAAGCCCATTTTGAAATGATTATCAATGTTTTTCAGCCACTGTCCAAATCGCAGGCCCATGGGGAGGTTCTTTTCTACAATGTAGCTACCGAATTCCTGGGCAGACCGTCCAGCTCAAAGCTCTTCTCCATCCCTGCTCCGGCCACCGGCACAGAACTAAGCCTTGATGGGTGCTCGCACAAAATCCGCGTCACCGCCAGCAACAGTGCGGGCACGTCTCCCGCGTCTGTGATGGCCATCAGGGACCCCGGGAACCGTGAGTTGTGCTTTGTCTCGCTTTATTCTCTGGGAGGACGCTGGTGATGTTACAGGTAGAGAGGTGAGTCGGAAAGACTAACTCGGGGCGACGGAATGTCCAGTGACCACAGTGTTCGCGGTTCCCCTTTGGACCAGGCGTGTCCGCGGGCTCCCCAGGACAGTCCTCCTCGTGTGGGGAGAAAGACTCCAGCCATCACTTGGGCCATTTCTGCCCTGGCGACTCTTCAACAAACGGGAAATTATCTCAAATTTATTCAAATAAACGCACCACCAACGAACAGCCCTGACGGAGAGTGGGGATGGTGTGAATGTGGCCTGCGGCTCATGAAGGATGAGTTGCAGGTGTGATATTGTAAGCTCTGTTGTCAGTCCTTGCCGCCTGTAAAGAGCCCATGAACATTCCAGAGACCATAAGAACCAGTATCGTATCTCCAGAGGGGCTTTGCCAAAGCTGTAGAGTGAACATGGGGACTGGCTACCCCCCCCCACACCCCCATGAAAGGAGCAGACAAGGTGGAAAGACACTGATTGCCTCCTCGGGCGAGCTGGGCATGGGGGTTGGCATGCTAACCCCACGGGCCCACTCTGAGCCAATGCACGTTTGAACATAATACAGTTGACATCCGGGGGTCATTCATGAACCTTGCAACACTGTCACTACTATTACATCCTCAGACCCTGCTTACGGGGTGAGGTCAGGTGGTATAAATGTGCCATTCACGTTGGGCTTAAATTGGGGTTACGTGGGCTAGAGTAGAGGGTGGTGGTGCTTCATCTTGTTTTAAGAACGATGCATTACATCAAGTAAGAAAAAGAAAGTAGGATCGCGGCGCAGAAGAAAAACTAAGGAGTTATTTAACGTAAGTGTTGCCTGCCCAGACCAGTACTTATGAGAGGAAATGACTGTATACAACATTCTGTCCTCATTAGAACCAGAACAGGAAGAGCAGGCATTCCATTCCCTCTGGGGAAGGGGAGACTAAAGAAAAACTGCCCCAGATGCTGCTGTCTGTTCTGGGGTTCCCACCATACCTTCCTTCCCCGTGCGGCCTTCAGACCCCCCCACCCTCTGTAGGGCTCCCTCCAGCCTCCCTGGTGTTCACATTCTTGTCACAGGAGTGGATGAAGACGCAGGCGTCCCCTGAGACAGACCGAGGAGGTGACGCCGGTTGCCGCCTCTACCTCCCCTCCCCAGACAGTCCTGCAGTTGTACAGAAGCAGCTTGATAAGGGTTGTGATTCTAAATCCCGGGTGAGGTCTTAGTGTGAATGAGTGACGTGAAAATGCTGCTTCAGTGTGAGAGAGATGTGTGTCTTTGCTGAAGGGAGAGGGAAGCCCTGTTGGTAGGGTACACACAGGCCTTGGGGAGCTCTCTGCCTTGTACCAGGGCTGCAGGGTCCTTTGGGCGCCCCAGCTGGGTAGTCACGTGGTGCCCTGGCAGAGTTAGCAACACCACACTCTCCCATAATGCTCAGCGGTACGTAGGATAGCCAGATAAAATACAGGACGCTGGTGAAACTGCAACTGCAGGTAAAGAGAGTAAATGTTTAATGTCTGTCTATACCACACAATACGTGGTCTGCACTGGTTGACTTTCTGGGCAGCTGCCCGTGGGCTCACTCTTTGATGGGGGCCGGCTCCCTCTCAGATGGAAGCTGAGACCACTGCCTGGGAACGGGGCATGCTGTGCAGTCAGCCTCAGGAAATGGGGGATTCCCATCCACAGGATGTAGGGTAACACAGCTTTAAGTCGGTAGGACTGGTGGTCCATTAAGACCATGTCACCTTTTCCCCAGTTGTCACACCTTACACAGACTGCCTGGGCACATAAACTACATTGAGGTGGCAACCTTGGCCATGAGGAGTGTGCACATCCTTGCATAATGCAACTTAGTACCTATCCAAATTGTCTTTTCTCTTTTTGTCCTCGCCTCAATTTCTACCCCTCACATCTAAGAAACAGCAGAGGTTAAAGAAGAAAGAATTCAAGGCACAGAGGACGGAGTCTCTATGTCCTGGAAACCGCCACCTGGAGATGTCATAGGCTACGTGGTGGACTGGTGTGATGGTCCCCAGGAGTCGTCCTGCGATCTCCAGTGGGAAAACCTGGGCCCCAATGCCACCAGCACCATCATCAGCTCAGGTGAGAACCTCCCACGTCACCATCTTGTCCCATCCACCTTGCAGCACGATTGGCTCGCAAGCCGCAGTTTGCCAACCACTGGAGGTTGCCTGGTCGCTCTCAAAGATGCTCTGTGATAAATTCATCATTTTGAAATTACCAATCCAGCATGGGTGCTAGGATTTCAAATGTTGCAGGTGATATGGCCTGAGGTTTGACCTTCAATCTACTTTGCCAGAGAATATCTGAGCCTAAGGCTAGGAGAGGGTTTCATGATTTTCATGAATTTGTGGTCTCAGATGAGTGGCAGCATGACATTCTAACAATTGTCCAGAGAGCTTTTACAAAAGCAAAGAAGTGTGTGGATTTAGGAGACAGTGATGGGCACCGATCATTGACTCCTCAACTTTAATGGAACATACAGAACTTACCCCCCACATTGGATTTGTAATTTCAAGACTGCCATATCAGTCAAATCAAAGGAGCCTTGGTTTGTGGCTTGAGCAGGGGTTGGTAGCGCCATCTGCTGGACTCAAGATGAAAACATGGGAATTGTCTGGGTCCAGAGGGTGATAGAGGCCCTGGAGGGCATTCAGTAGCCCTTGGGGACTGAGGAGGCCAGGTTCCCCTTGGCTAGAGAACGTCGGTGGCATGGTGGGCGCTGCAGGTGGATTGCAGTGTGAGGGAAAGCCAGGAAGTGGAAGCAAAGCCTTCCAGACACTTGGCTCTCCTGGGCAGAGAAGGCACATTGCTGGAGGGGGGTTGCATCAAAGGAGGGCTGGCAGTGGCTCTCTGGTCGAATCCTGCACGGTGTCATGCACACGTGTCATACACACGCCTGAGGTGTTATGCACACATGATATGCACATGTGTTTGAGAGCTCTTCCTCCAGGGCTGATGGAGAGAACAGCCCCATGGGCTTGCTTGGAGACAGTGGTGGACTCTGAGGCCAGTGGAGGAAGGGCAGGCAGTGGGGGCAAAGGGCAGCACCCCGAGGAGATTACTAGGGGGACACAACTTCCCGTTTCCTTCTTTTCCTTTTCAGGAGGAAAGAGAGGGTCATCCTGTGCTGTTACTGAAAATCTGTGGATTTTTCTTCTCTAGATGCTTTCAGACCAGGAGTCCGATACAACTTTAGGATTTATGGAATTTCTCCAGAAAGTACGGCCTATTTATTGGAGAGAAAGACAGGATACTCCCAGGAGCTAGGTGAGTTGAAAGCGTGTGGTGTGCCCACGGAAGACTTGCTCAGGACAATCCAGACTCAGCTTGGGGTGTAGGAAGTTCCAACACCGTGCCTAAGTTCAGTGTCTTCTTGATTCTGGTCATTGTGTTCTTAACAAATTATTTTTAAACCGTACTAACATAAGACATTTTCACTGAACACAATGTATACTAGTAAATGCTTTGCAAAAGGGAAAAACCATTGCTAATTTTCCCAGAGTTCATAGAGGCTGCGGGGCTGGGGCAGGCTGAGGATTCTTATCTTTTTCTCTAGGAGACTTATGCCTTGGCATCGTTTGGGAGAGCTGGGAAGAGGCTGAGCAACCTCCTTGTTCAAGCCTCCCCTTTCACAGATGTAGAAACACCTCCCCTTTCACAGATGTAGAAACACCTCCCCTTTCACAGATGTAGAAACCCTCTCCTTTCACAGATGTAGAAACAGATGCCCAGAGAAACGCAACACAAGGTCACACAGCAACAAGAGAATACGGCTTTTTTAGAAATCGTCTGTTCCTGAATTCTAGGTGCAGCTGCCCTTGCACTGCATGGTTTAGAACTGGGTCTGCTTACATGAGGGTTTGTGTGGTTTGGTTTTTTATTTTTCACTAAATATACAGTCAGGCCTCCACATCCCTGGGTTTCCCATCAGATTCCCAACTTAATATTGAAAAATACGGTTTTTGATCCGTGTTTGGTTAAATCCACAGATGTGGAGTGCCAACCATAGGCACTGTTCTACACTACACACCACGTTATATGAGGGACTTGAGCCTCCATGAATGTTGGTATCCGCAGAGGTCCTGGGACACTTAGAGAATATTTCCAAATCCTGACTCTTCTTACCCCGACTTCTTTCCCAGCTCCTGCAAACAACCCTCGCGTGAACATAAGCAACCTGACACAGCACTCCTTCACTCTGAGTTGGGAGGATTACGCCACTGACTCCCAGCCTGGTTTCATCCAAGGGTACCGCATCTACCTGCGATCCAAGGCAGAGCAGTGCCCCCCGGAGTTCACAAAGGCAGACCTCCCAGGTGACATGCGTGTTTGTTTACCCTTGTAACATGTCACTATTTGAAATCATGCGGCAGGCTGCCGTCTGTGACTGTCTATTCTTGCAGGTAAAACAGGTTCTTAAACAAGTTCGTAGGTCGACAGGATTGTGGGGGCCAATATTTTAACTTAAAAACCATGTGGCCTGATATTTTTAGAAGCACCTGAAGTCCCGCCATCTCAAGAAAACCTGCCACGTAGGAAACTTCCTTGTGAACCCCCTTTTCTTTTTCCCTTTGACCTTGTTAAAGGTTATTTATGTATTTTTTTTAAAATTTTCAATTACAGTTGGCATTCAATATCTATATCTATCTATCTATATATATAAAAGCCTAAGCGACCAAATGACCAAATGACCGGTCGACTGATTACTATGAGGTGCACTATCATCAGGAGGCAGATGCTCCACCAGAAGCTTCCCCCTGGTGGTCAGTGCGCTCCCTGGAGTGCTGCTCAGCTGACCGATGGGTGCCAGGCACAGGGCTCACGGTTGGCCTCTGCAGCCCGGAGACCACAGTGGAGTGGCAGCGAGCCTACTGAGCGGTGGTGGCTACAGGCGGAGTGGGTGCAAGATGAGCAGGAGCGGCACAGCGCCCAGCCTGGGCTTGGGCTCCTCCCCAGCCACCTGCCACTTTGCGCACTACTACATCCCTCGGGGGATGTCGGACGATCCCTGGCCTGCGGGGATCAGGCCAAAACCTGTAGTCCAACATCCCCCAAGGGATCCCAGATTCTGAGAGGGCACAGGCCAGGCTGAGGGACCCCACTGGTGCACAAATCCGTACACCATGTCTCTAGTTACTTTATATTAGTTTACAATGTACAGCATAGTGCAGTGATGGCGAACCTATGACATGCATGTCAGAGATGACACGCGAACTCATTTTTTTGGTTGATTTTTCTTTGTTAAATGGCATTTAAATATATAAACCTAGAGGCCCAGTGCACAAAGTTTTGTGCACTTGCGGGGGGGGGATCCCTCAACCAGGCCTATGCCCTCTTGCAGTCTGGGACCCCTCGGAGGTTGTCTACCTACTGGCTTAGGCCCACTCCCTGGGGGATCAGGCCTAAGCTGGCAGTCAGACATCCCTCTGGCAG